TTATATTTTATGTTATTTCATTTATGTAAGCCGTCCTGAGGCTTTTGTGACAGGACGGCATATAAATATCTTGAATGAATGAATGAATGAATGAATGAATGAATGTACCGCTTTCTTGACTGGTTGTTTTTGCACAGCCTTGGACAATAATACTCATCAACTCAACTCAGCTACATCCTTCCTTACCGATTAGTTAAAGAAAGTTACTTCCGACAAGTGTAAGACCAGGTGAAGTAAAATCACAATTTACTACAAGGGAGCCAAGAACTAATCCATGCGTCTCCATGCATGGCTAGAAACAAAAATGTTTGGACACTTCTTTGCATGCTCACAAGATTGTGCTCAATTCACAATGCACAGAAAATGCATAAAATTCCAGTCCAGGCTCATTTTTAAAAAGCATTACAAACAAACGACCTTTGAGCCAACCCATCCTGAAATTCTGCATTACGAATCAAAAACAATGGGATTTAAATTTACCAGGTCTAAACTAAATTTATTGAACGGGTCTACTTTAAACACACCCAGTTGCTTCAGTCGTTTCTTCTAGGTCTTAGTAATGAGCTGTCTTAGGTTTTCTGTTTGCTTACTTTTCCTAGGATACGTAAGTCCTGTTCCTAAAAGTCTACTCTTAAGTGTTGTATGGAGCAGAGCTGCCCCCTGGCGGTGAGAGTGGCAACATGCTGCATGTAGATGTTTTGAACCAAATCATTCTTTGATTTGAACAAAGTTTTATTAGAACTAAATACATTCAAAAGAATGTGGATTGGTCCATATTTTAGAGTGAAGCCCACCTCATTCCCACTTCCTGGAGGAATATGAGGACTGAAGCATGGATCTGTTTCAGATTCTGCACTTCACAATACATATTTCAGGATTCATTAGCAGGAATAATCATTCATGTAGGAATTTGTTCGAATTAGAAGGTCCCCAATGAACTATGGGGCAGACCAGGTTGGATAATACAGAGATAGATTTCCTTTGTGAGGGCCCTGAATCAGGGTTTTCTTGGACCAGGTCATACCAAGTGATATTCCGGAACTTAATCATTAGCCAATTCATTGGTCAACATTCATCCATTCATTGTGCTCCAACACTACAGTGAGCCTATAATGTATTATGGAAGCTCTATGAAGTTTGCAATTTATTGCATCTTTGGAGAATATGAAATAAGGTAGCACTTGGGTGCTTCTATGCATCCCCTCAGCTCCTCTGCCATGCCCACTTCTTATCTAAAGTACACCCACCCACTTTTGACCCAGGAAAAGATGATTTCTTTTCTCCATACCTCCACAGGTTTCAAAGAAGAGAATTAAACAAAAGTACACATTTTGAAGGGCAGAATTAATGAAGACCCACTGGAGATGACCATCATGCTAGGGGAAGTTGGAAGCAGAAACAGGACAGACAACTACGAGAAGGATCTTTTCGATCAAGGAAGCCACAGCTCTGATTTTACAAGGGCTGTGCAGAACCATCAAGAACAGAACATTTTGGAG